AAATTGTCTGTGAGCTGATTTCCAGCTACAAGGAGAAAAAGAAAAACAGATTATGCAGGAGGGAGATGCAGGGAACAGGGATTGGGTGTTCTGCAAAGAGAGTTGGAGGTAAATAATTTTGCAGTAACTGTTATGCTGATGTTGTGGCTGGTCAAGCAAATGTTTGTGCTTGTTTCTGTATGATATAATTGGTCATATATGTATTAAAATACTGATATTCTGGTCAATAACTCCGCCCCGAACTTCCCTCTGCCCTGTATCTTGGTCTCTCATTGGCTGTAGGTCATCGCCGATGTGTTTTTCAGTCAGAAGTCATTTCACACAGCGTGATTGTGAATCGCCGACAGCTCCAGATATTTAGCATGCCAAATATTTTGCGGGTGTCGGCGATGGGTCGGTGATTCTCTCAGATTGCGTCTTTGATAATTCACACTGCGTGATTGTCACTCGTGTGAACGAGCACTGATTTGCCTCCGATTTCGGGCATTTGTCGGCGATTTCGCAAAACCTGTCGGCGAGTGAAAAATCGGGCTAATATCGTGCAGTGTGAACTCGGCATTAGTTACTGTTACTCCCTCGGACAAACAAATGGAGTTGCTCACTGTCTTACAATGACAGCTGTCAGTGTGAAAACATTGTCACAAGATGTTTTTGAACATTTGAATATGCCATGGAGGGATATATAAAAGATTTTAAAATAAATATGGTGGGTAACTCGATTAATTTGGAAGCGAGGGTTTACAGATCACAATGCAAGCAGGAGAAGCCTCATGTTTTACGGTCATCACAATCGCAGATGACAACATGGAGGATCAACACTGTTCATGTACCGCAGGGTACAATTTAATTTACATTTAACCAGTTTAATATGGAGAGGCACTGAAATGTAGACCTCCGTTTATGTGTTTTTGACCTACACTGTACATGACGTGAGAACAGTCCACTATTTAGGTTTGTACATTAGCATGGACTCACTAACTTCAACGTTAGCTAGTTTTAGCCAGATACCTTACTGAAGCATAAGATGACATTAATGTTCTGCTTGAGCAGATGAAAATTGTAACTTAATGAGAGTATGACAACCAGAAAATGAAAATTTTTGTCTTCGTTGGGATTAGGGTTGAATGCTTACAGACATTTTGCTTGGGTTTTGTTTGGGTTCAAGAAATGGAATAAAATAAATTGTATTGCCTATCCTCTCAGGATAACTGGAATCAGTGTTACAAGTACCCCAGGCACATTGTTTTCCCATTTTTGTAGCATAAACACCATCAAATCGATGCGAGCTTCGGATCTTCCAATGTTTCTCTATGGCGCTGAAACCTAAAGATGTCCGAGTTCCGTTCCCCGTGCAACTGATACTCCACTGCCATTGACTCATCTGCGTTCGAGGGGAGGGGCTTACCGATAGGAGAAGGTTTATCTAAAGCAAATTACAGTACATCAGGGATGTCCAAACCTGCTCCTGGAGGGCCAACGTCCTGCACAGTTTAGCTCCAACTTGCCTTCAAAAGGATAGTTCCCCCAAAAATGAAAATTCTGTCATTAATTACTCACCCTCATGTCGTTCCAAACCCGTAAGACCTTCGTTTATCTTCAGAACACAAATTAAGATATTTTTGTTGAAATCCGAGAGCTTTCAGACCCTCCATAGAAAGCAACGCAACTTCCACGTTCAAGGCCCAGAAAGGTAGCAAGAACATCATTAAAACAGTCCATGTAACATCAGTGGTTCAACCATAACCGTGTTATGACGATACGAGAATACTTTTTGTGTGCAAAGAAAATAAAAATAACAACTTTATTCAACTTTTATTTTCCTTCCGGTCAGTGTCCGCCACTGTTCACAAAAGTACCACGATGCAAAGCAAAGAAGATATCGGTACATAAAGTCGATATTGTCATTTTCTTTGCACATTAAAAGTATTCTCGTAGCTTCATAAAATTATGGTTGAACCACTGATGTCACATGGACTACTTTAGCAGTGTCTTTACTACCTTTCTGGGCCTTGACCGTGGAAGTTGCGCTGCAGTCTATGCAGGGTCAGAAAGCTCTCGGATTTCCTCAAAAATATCTTAATTTGTGTTCTGAAGATAAACAAAGGCCTTGCGGGTTTGGAAAGACATGAAGGTGAATAATTAATGACAGAATTTAAATTTTTGGGTGAACTATCCCTTTAAGTCCAACATACCATCCAGCCTGGAAGTTTCTAGCAAGCCTAAAAGACCTTGATTAGCTGGTTCAGGTGTGTTTAAGTGGGGTTAAAGCTAAACTCTGCATGAGCAGAATTAGACACCCCCTGAGATAATCCCCCTAAATAAACATTGGGTAAGTGTCTAGATTGGGCACAATGGTGATCGCCCTACAACTCAAACCAGCAACCTTCTGGTTACTAGCACTGAGCTTTGGTCACTTAGCTAAAAATGAGTTTGTTAGGGCAATAAACAATGGCATAAAGTCTGCAATTTGTAAAGCACTACTAGCACTAACTGTTGTTGTGTTGCACAGGTGTCCTACCTAATAGAACTTTCACATTTTTTAATACATATTTGAGCACACTGCAAAGGATAAAGCTAATATTTAGCACTGTGAAGGTTAGATTTCAAATGCACGCTTACGTAATCTTATCTAAAAATGAATCAAAGGTTTTCCCAGAATCAAGCGGCACTTCCAGGTAGACATCTGAGCCATGATTCAGTCAGCAAGGTGACACCTTTGGGTGAGCACATGTGCGCTTCTCTTCACTGCGTTCCTGTCTCACTGGGGATTGTCCAGATCAGCAGATCCACATTGTCCTGTCAGAGTAATCCCACAGTGGGCCGGTCACTAGTGCGATCAGCAGCTACTCTCTCCCAGTCTTTTTCCATCTCCTTCAACAATTTTCCATCTTGTTTCACGTTACTTGGAAAAGCATTTTCTCACTTGCTTTTCAGCTACATAATGTTATATTGTTAACATATTAACATATTCAGTTTATACTTGATCAAGATTCATCATGATATTTAACAATTTCCATAGGATGTTTCATCCATTATCCTATAATACACACAGCCATGTTTTCCATTCTTCCCTAGATGTGGAACAGCACCAGAGTACAGGACAGCTGGGATCTAATGCAACATCCAGCAGTGCTGAATCAACCCAGGATCGACTCAATGACAGACACGTCAGAGGGCCAATCAGACCAGTGCATCACAGGGCAACTAGCCCAAACTTCTTACAGTGAGTAAAGAGGGAAAGAAAGGGTGAAAATAATGAATATGCTATGTCCGTACCCACATCTACCGTAATCCCCCCTTTTTTTGGTTAGCACTTTAACAAACCAGATCCTTTACTAAAATGTACAATCCTTTCTCTGAACAATGTAATTTCCGGGGGCCACAATTATATGGATTGCTTTGGCACTTAAGGCTCAAAGTAGGTCAGAGGAGATGTGGGCCAGGCTTCCTTATGACTACACGTTTGTCTACTGCAACACTGCCACCTACTGACTGAGAATATATATATATATAGGCCTATATTTATTTTTTTTACATAATATATGTGTGTGTACTGTGTATATTTATTATGTATATATAAATACACACACATTCAGTATATCTTTTGAAAATATTTACATGTATACACATTTATATTATATTTTATACTATATATATATATATATATATATATATATATAATATAAAATATAATATAAATGTATATACATGTAAATATTTTCAAAAGATATACTGAATGTGTGTGTATTTATATATACATAATAAATAAACAGTACACACACATATTATGTAAACAAAAACTTTTATTTTGGATGCGATTAATCATTTGACAGCACTAATATATATAATGTATAATCATTTAAATATATATTATATAAAATGTTATATATATATATTAGGGCTGTCAGTTGATTACAATTTTTAATCTAATTAATTACATGGCATTTCGATTAATTAATCTAATTAATCGCAAAATAAATTTGACTGTGAAAATACCCACAAAAGGTTATTTAAAGATATTTTTGTTAAATGAGAAAGTATCAAGTAGACATTACAAATTGTAGCTTTAGAAATATTTTATTTGATTCTACAAAAAATGTATTACATAAACATTTAGGCTACAACGGCTATGGAACATAAAAGAAGATAATTTGAGAAACATCTCAGTATTGTTTGTTCATACAATGAAAGTCATTGGTAACCAAAACAGCTTTGTACCAACAGTCTTCCAAATACATTCCTTTATGTTCCACAAAAGAAAGGTTTGAAACGATATGAGGGTGAGTAAATGATGACAGAATAAAACATTTTGGGTGAACTGTCCCTTTAATGTTTTTATTATTATTATTTTTATTATTATTATTAATTAAATGATACTCTAAATAAGAAACTAAATCTGCCAGCAGGTGGCGGTAAATGTCTTCAGTCGATTCGTTCAAACGGCTGATTCATTCAGTAATGAAGTAAACGGCTCTCTTTATGAATGGGTCTTTGAATCATTGGTTCACACGATTCGTTCAAAACGCGGATTCATTCAGAAACTAAACACCGCTGTGTTGCTCGAAGACGCACAACAATTCTGCTGTGGCTTTAAATGTAATATATTCTTTGCAAAATTGAGCAAAAACACATAATATTGTTTAAAATATATCACAATATCAACTTCTTACTGAACTGTTGTATAAAATCGCATTTAAACGCGTGATATTCGGGTCAAAAACAGCACTCGTGTAATAGCCTACTGCTCTCCCTGCTTGTGCGATATCGATATTGTATGATATAAATATGAGACAAAAACACATAAAGGGGCATTTTTTGCACCAGGGCATAACTGCATTTATGGAGTTGTCGCCCTGCTTCATATTTGTCATCAGTCAACCGCATGGACTGTAGGATGACGTATAGGTCTGGGGGCGGGGCCAGTGCGTTAACTGTGTTAAAATATTTTAATCGCATTATTTTTTTGTAACTAATTAAGTTAACGTTTCTAAATGCATCCTGTCTGCTTTTCTTGTCTTGTCATTGACCTATATCAAAATATTGCTATCTGATACCATCCCTTTACTATGGTAACGCCACAGTACACACCACTTGAGCTCAAGAAATCTGCCTGTTTATTCATAACCTTTTCGTGTTATGAACGATGGCAATTTGAAGCATGACATGTTCTGCGGAGCATGCATCGTGTTCCTGTAATGCTCAGACAGCTGTCGTGTTGTGCAACAGGATAAGTATTTTCCATTGACTGGGTCAGCAGCAGCAATAAAAAGAGGGAGAGAGGGAGGGAGGGAAGATAAAAATAGAGGTGTGTGTGTCTGCCAAAGAAAGACATGGAATGCAGGGAATGATCACCCGTCTACATGCTGCTGCTATATTCAGCTTCCTGTGTGTGTTACTAGACACAGCCCTTTAAGCATGTGTGTTTGGGTTGCTCACAGTGCCAGATAATGTGTTTGTCGCCGGAGTTGTGATTCGATAGTGTGTGGTGTTTATGAGTGTGTGAATGTGTGTCTGAGTGAAGGAGAGATAGCAGAGAGGAATTCCAGCCCCAGTGACTGGAGACAAGCTGCAGCTTACATCATCTTTCTCCAGAGCCAGTAAGAAAGCAGAGAGCCGCTACAGAGACAGGCTATAATTGGCTGCTCACTCAGATCTGACAGCGAGAAAGGGAGATAAAATTACGAGCTGGAATACAAGGAGCGAACACTGCGATACGTCTGGGGACTATTGTTATTTGTGACCCTGGACCACAAGAACATAAGAGTCAATTTTTCGAAATTGAGATTTTTACATCATCTGAAAGCTGAATAAATAAGCTTACCATTGATGTATGGTTTGTTATGATAGGACAATATTTGGCAGAGATACAACTATTTGAAAATCTGGAATCTGAGGGTGCAAAACAATCAAAATATTGAGAAAATCGCATTTAAAGTTGTCCAAATGAAGTCCTTAGCAATGCATATTACTAATCAAAAATTAAGTTTTGTTATATTTATGGTAGGAAATTAGCAAAATATCTTCATGGAACATGATCTTTACTCAAAGGGGTCATAGGATGTTGCTAAAAAGAACATTATTTGGTGGAACAAATTTCATGGAACATGATCTTTACTTAATATCCTAATGATTTTTGGCATAAAAGAAAAATCTATAATTAAAAAAAAAATAATAAATAAATTATTGCTACAAATATACCCCAGTGACTTAAGACTGGTTTTGTGGTCCAGGGTCACATTTGATTGGCTTCCATGAAAAAAATTCAGTTGAAAAATTAAATTCTGTACAATAATAAATAATAAACTATTATATTTTTTGTAAAAATAATATAATATAATAATATGACAATGCCTTGTGATATTTATGTATTTATATATTTATTTATTTTGGACATGGTTTATTTACAAAAAAATAAAAACAGTTCTGCGTGTATCTTGTTTATTTAGCCTTCACAGGTTAAGATAAGTTTCTATACAAAATAAATATTACACTCCTATTACATTATAGTATATTATATATCTGTCTGTTTATACAATACTCTTCAAAAATTATATTTATATTATATTAATGTATAAGATAAATGCTATACTTAATATATATAACATATTTAAAATAAATGTAATACAATTTTAATGTATTAAATTACATTAAAAGTATATATACACACACACACACACATATATATATATATATATATATGTATATATATAATTAGAATTAAATGTAAATATATAGATTTTATTTTAAAATATGTCATAAGGCCCTTTAATATAATATAATATAACCTGAAGGTGTCTGTTTATACAATACTCTTCAAACATTATATCTTATTATATTATAAAAAATAATTACATATATATAATATATATATATATATATATATATATATATATATATATATATATATATATATATATATATATATATATATATAATTATAATTAAAAGTAAATATATAAATATAATTTAAAAATAAATCACACAATATATATTTGAAAATGCATAGCAACATATTAAAAAATTCTTCAACAGCTTTGGCCTAGTGGTAGGATCTTTCACAGTCAAGATCCACTCACATTTTTCTAAGAAAAGGATAATAAAAAATATTAAAATAGAACTGCTTAAATGAACATAATTCCAAATAATATAGTAACTCACCATATAATCTGGCACTAAAATATTTCTGTTGCACTTTTGTGGTCTTTTTAAATAGATAAATCTGTCTGTGTTTTAGGGATCTTCAGCGTGCCTTGAGTGTAGAGGACGTGGGGCGGCCCAGTGCGGTGCGTCCGGTGGGACGCATGGCCCAGGCCTTCCCTGACGGCACCATCCTGCTGGAGCTCTCCAGGCCCCCCAACGGCCCCTTCGGCTTTCTAATCTCACGAGGAAAAGGCAGGCCAGACTCAGGTGAGGGACCTCCCACTCTTGTTTTCATACACTTCTGACTTGAAGTTTAGACTAACCGGCTTTATGTTTAAGGGGTGTACGTTGAAGAAATGGGCGACAGCAATATGGAGAAACTCTACGCGGGGCTGCTCGGGGTCGGAGACGAGATCTTAGAGGTGAATGGCGAGAAGGTGGCAGGACTCAGTCTGGACCTGGTGACCCGTTTAATGACTCAAAACAGCACAGCTTCAATCCGCGTACTACAACACAGATGCCTACAGCGCTAACTGAAGACAAGACTGTACCAGAACCACATTTTGTTGTAGTCAATGTAAACAATGTCAGAAATGTCAGGGACGAGTTTGTGTAATCGGCAGTATTACGTTTAATCGACCTTTGGAGTTTTATGGCAATGATCACACAACGGTCCCTATTAAGTTACCCAAAAATGAAGCGTTTTTTTATACATTTTGTTACAATCCAGTTTCATTTTTTAAGTGAATTCATCCCTGTAGCCACTGTTATGGCTAAAGGCCTGTTCACACCAAAAACAATAACAGTAATGACAAAATATATAGTATTAAAAATCATTCTAAAGTTATAAAAATAGCAGGGTCCACAACTATAATGATAATGACACAGAGGAACAATATCGTTGGAAACACTTTCCAGCTGAGGAATGACAAAAACACTGGCAGCCAATCCATCCTGCTTTAAATAGTTTGAGTATTTAAAGCGGCAGATGACAAAACTGCAGTGCTGTTTGTAATAAACAGCATGTTATTGCGCGTTGCAGTGGATGCTAATATAGTTCAGTCATTACAACTCTCTGAGAGTTTAGCACGGTAATATACATGGCAAGGTTAATGTGTTAATAGATCTGCTACGCTACCAAGACTTGCTACTGTCAATACATCCACAAACATGCTGTGTGAGCATGTAGGAAATATTGCCGCTGCACATATAACATATATGAAATAACCCCCTTATATAATATACATGACATAAACCCATAGCAGATCTATACAGGTGGAGCTGGGGGAGGTGGAGGGTTTCTGAAGCGCGTTGCAACTGCTACAACAAACACTAGCCAAATATTTGAATGTTGAGCAGCAAGCTCATTGGCTGCTGATGCGAAATAAACCAATCAGCTACACCATGTGAGTAATCATGTGATTATATCATATTGAGTTAAAACCTATCAGCCTGCGCCATCTTTCATGATAGAACTTTGCATTTATCTTTATAGTCAACACTGTAGTTATTGTTTTGGTGTGAATGGGCCTTAGTTTACAGGGGTACCTTGAAAAAACACGCTATTGAATGTGTGGTCACATTAGTGAACTTTCAGCGGAAAACAGGCACATTGTCCATTGTAAATAGCGCAGAATCGAAGTCCAGCTCAAACAGAAATCACTTTTAAACCAATCAGCTTTCTGTTGGTCCGTGTGGAGAATTCACGTGACCAACTTGGACAAAACTTTTTTTGCATTCATGCGAAACTCACTTGCGCCGTTTAATTGGAATGACTGGATGAATTTCGCCGACCACACCTTGAGTCACATTCATTGGCTCGTTTTTTTGCCAGAATGGTACTATCGTTACAACAGAATATTATATCTGTAGTACAATCGTGTATGAAGGACAAGGATATTTAATGTACTGAAAGTTAAACTCAAGTGTTATTGCAATGAAGGATGGTCTAAATGTGTTTGCCAAAAAGACCAATGAACATCAATGTTTATCTATCTTCTGAACATTCTGTTTCATCTAAATCCTCTGTTGCTTTTGCATTCGGTTCTAATACGAAACCTTCTCCATGCTGCTGACGAGTAAATAGATAAGTCAAAAGAGGTTTATATACTCTCTTAGAATGGCTCGGTGCACACGCTGCAGTCGCATTGATCATCAGCTCTAAATTAGTTCTAATTTAGTAAATTGATTGGATATTTCTCCATGAGCCAGCACATTGTTATACCTCTACAGTGCAGTCCGACACCATTAGCGTGCTGTCCTGAAGGATATCAGTATTATGGTACGTGCAACGCAAAAAGCTACCAACCTAATGTATTTTGCTACATCTATTTATATGTTCCTATGAAATAAAACAACTGGCTTTTGAGGGACGGCTTGTTTTTTTCACTTCATATATTGTTAGTATTTTAGTAGGAGCGGGAATACAGTGAAATACAGTGAAGAAAATGAAATGTTTGGGAAAAAATGTGTTGGTCATTAACATTATGCTATAAATTGTGTAGAGTCAGAATAATTTACACTGAACTTTTACATAATCCTTTTTAGGGATAGTTCACCTAAAAATGAAAATTCTGTCATAATTTACTCAACCTCCACTTGTTCCAAACCTGTACGGGGGCGTGGCAGAGTCTTAACTTTGATAAAGAATATCTCTTTGGGTTTGAGACTTTAGTCTTTGCAACTTTAGGGATCTTATCTATTCACGAACAGCTTGTAACACTCCAAAGAGAAAGGAAAACTTGAAATCATGTCATCATTCGGACACGCCCAGAGTGCACCTGCGCCGTGCGCTTTAGACCATGCACTTAGATCGTTAAAATAGGGCCCAAAATCTCTAGACCTTTTTTTTTTATTCCACTACATTGTGTCTCACATTTTTGAAGACAAAGGCGCATTCTGTGTCTCAAGTGTAAGAGGTCAAAGTGAATGCATTATGCACTATGCTGTTTTTCCATTGTGTTTCTATGTAAATATGCATAAAACGTATGTGTTTGACCATTGTACTCGCAACTTTGACATTCTCGCACGACACGTCGTTCTAAAAATAAAGCAATGGCAAAGTTAAAAGTAAATCAACTTTTTAAAAAAACATGTCAATTGGTCTTGCGATTGTTTTAATTTTATTACATTGCGTCTTGCATTTTTAAACATAAAAACGCATTCTTAGTGAATGGTCCCTAATGCGGCAGTTTAAAAATGGCGCTCAATTTAGATGAAATTACAATTTAAAAAAAATGCATCTTGAGACATTGTGATTTTTATTCCACTGCCCTGTATCTTGTGTTTAAATGAATAAATATGTTCTGTCTTTAGGGTTAATGGTGTGTGCACACCTAAAGCGAATTCAATTATTTGCGCGAGTAGATTACATGCAAAGACACAAATAGATGGGAATTTGTGCTGGGTGATGCGAATGACACAAATTGGGCGACACGATTGCTGAGTGCAATATATTGCAAAGGTGCAATATTCATCTCAATCGTTGAAAAACAAGTTGAAAAATTTTAACTAGAGCGGGAAATTTGCATGACGCATTGTTGTACAAGCCAAACCACGTAGCGCTTATTGACATATCCGGTTGTATCAGATAATGGAGGAGAGCATGCGCAATGTTTTTATTCACGTGAAAAACATCCCGCGAGTAATCTAGAGCGATAACGCAATGCGAATATTCGCTTCGCTTTTGGTGTGCACACACTATAAGAGGTGGTTCACACAGAAAATGTTTTTTTCCCCATTCCACTGCACTACTTTTACATAGTTTTTCTATGTAAACATGCGCTAAACTGACATTTTTGACTTTAGTGCTGGCATCTCGTGTTTTTTTTAAAAAACAGTGTTTTACAAACATAAGTTAAAAGAATTACAATTTGTAAAAAATGCTAACCGTTTTTGCATCCCATGTGCTACTTTTCGTTTTATGTAAACATGTGCTAAACTTTTGTCTTTAACCTTTGCGCTCACATCTCACACTGCGTTAAAAATTTTATACTTAAATGTAGTTAACCTTTAGAAAAAAAAAACGTCTATAGTCATTGTGTTTTTTATTCCACTGCCCCATCTTGTGCTTTTACGTAAATACAAAAACATGTTTTGTGACTTTCGGGTACAGGGCGTTTGAAACAGAACAAAATTTTGCATCCCACTGCGCTGCTTTTCCATTGTGCTCATGTCTTCTGTTCTAAAAACATCGCGCTAATGTTAAAACAAGTTCAATTTTAATAAACGAGTCTCGATACCTTTTGTATTTTTCCCATTTCACTGCTCATGTTTCATGTTTTTCAACACAAATATACGATCTGTGTGAATGGCCCCTAAGAGTGCAGGATTGGGGTTTTCAATGGCAAAACGACACAAGCAGGACGAGCTTACAGACATGTTTGAGGGTCTTGGTGAGGCACGTGTGCTGGTCAATAATCTCGCCTGTCCTCCCCTATTGATTAGACAATGATTGATTCCATCCTGGTCACGACATTGAAAACACACACACACACACACACACACACACACACACAACAATCAAGTACATGCATTTATTAAGTGAAAGTGACGTGACATGTGGCCAAGTATGCTGACCCATACTCGGAATTAGTGCTCTGCATTTACCCATCCAAAGTGCATACACACAGCAGTGAACACACACACACACCGTGAACACACACCCGGAGCAGTGGGCAGCCATTTGTTTGCTGTTGTCTTTTTGCTCAAGCGCACCTCAGTCATGTTATTGAAGGTGGGAGAGAGCGCTGTACATTCACTCCCCCCACCCACAATCCCTGCTGGTATGAGACTCAAACCCCGCAACCGACTCTAACCATTAGGCCACGACTTCCCCCGATTAAGTCAGAACACTTATAAAACTAATAAAAAAATCTTCTAACCAAGCTGCACAATCTCACTCATGTCGTTATAGATGCTTATATGCATTTGCAGGCTTCATCTTTAAGCAATTATACCCTTCATTACCCAATATTCATAACTGTGTCACGATAACTAGAAGAAAAGCGAATTCGCGATTGTCTGTGACAGCTGTTTAACAGGATTCCAGGTAGGTTTATAGTCGTTCTGTACTCTCATAAACATGATAGCTGCTCTCAAGTGCGGGTTGATGTTGTGTTTGTGTTGTGTGTAGCGATGCTAATGAGCTCAGCTGGCGGAGGAGTGTGTCTTTTCCCTGCCCCCACCTCCACCTCCCCACGGGTACGAGAGCTCAGCTGTCCCCTCCACTTACTGCAGGATAAAGGAGCCCAACGCCGAACCTGCATCCTGCACCTGCTGCCTCCCTGCCACACACACACACACACACACACAGTCTCTGTAAATCCATCATTAGAAGCACTCCAGCTATGCAAAGCCAGTTTTAGCCACAAATATCACCACTATTTTGAGCCAAACATTATAGTTTATGTACTACAGCTCTCCTTGATGAATGTTCAAATAAGAATTGCTGTAAATATTTTGTACTACATATGCCAAAAATATTTGTATATTTATTTTATATAAAATAATTAGTGCTGGGCAACGATCAATTGCGATAATAATCGCATCCAAAATAAAAGTTTTTGTGTACATAATATATGTGTATGCTGTGTGAAAAACTTGTTGCCTCTTTCCCAAAAAGACTCATGGCTGTATTAGATCAAAAGGGTGCTTCTACTAAATACTGAGCAAAGGGTCTGAATACTTAGGACCATGTGATATTTCAGTTTTTCTTTTTTAATAAATCTGCAAAAATGTCAACAATTCTGTGTTTTTCTGTCAATATGGGGTGCTGTGTGTACATTAATGAGGAAAAAAAATTAACTTAAATGATTTTAGCAAATGGCTGCAATATAACAAAGAGTGAAAAATTTAAGGGGGTCTGAATACTTTCCGTACCCACTGTATATGTATATTTCAGAAAAATATGTTAAGTTTATATATAAAATATATTTATTTATAATATAAATTATATGAATATAAATATATACATGTAAATATTTTCAAAATATATACTGTACACAGTACACACATATATATTATGCAAACAAAAACTTTTATTTTGATTAATCATTGCCCAACACTAAAAAATATATAAATATAAATATTACTTACATATTCATAATATTAAAATAAGTAATATTTCACAATTTGGTAAACAAATATGAAAATTACAATCATAACATATAAAAACATCTATCAAATATATTCAACACAGTATACAAAAAAGTTATAAAATATAAAATATATTTCGCATATTATTTAAATATAAAATAATATGCAAATATAAACATAAAACAATGCTATATTATTTCAACACTGTACTATATACACAAGTGAAAACATTTTACATTTTATTATTGTTATTATTATTATAAATGAGCAGTACATATTTAAC